CTTTTTGTGATAGCCAGTTAAGTGACATTGACCTGAAATGTATGGAAATTTTCTGATTGAGCTTGCTTAGAAGAAATACCCTTGGTAATTTGTAAACATCTGAAGAAGACAGTATCTGAAGTCAGAACTAGGCTGAGTCTGTTGGGGGACTCAGCACATACTTTTGGGCAAAAGCAAGGGTGCTGTTTGTTTTCCCCTTTGTAACAAGATTGGGATGAAAAACAAGTATCAGTGTGATAATCAGTCTAGGGTGGTTTTTTTTGGTGAAAATCTCTAGGAACATTAGGCACTTTTTGTTGGATAATACAAACAGATAGCAGGCAGATGACCTGAGATTTTACCCTTCAGTTCAGTGAAAACCAGAGTATGAACTCTAAAGGCAAAAATCTGGATTTTGCAATCTCCATTTGATTTGATGAGTGAAAAGAAGGCCCAACAATCTTCATGGGTTCTTTCTGTCAGGGGCCTCTCTCCTTATTGTTCTGGAGAAAAGAGGAGAAACAGTGCACCACGGGAGTGGCATGCCCTTGTGAGTAATGCTCATGAGGGACGTGGTTCACTGCCAGCTTAGAGGAAGAACAGAGTTGTACTGAAAGCATCAGTGATCAATTATATATTGTCAAAAGAAAACAGAGAAGCTGGCTCATATTGTCAAGCTACAGGATATATTCCCCAAGAGAAACCATTGCAGAAGTATTGACAGCTAGTACAGGAGTTTTGCTGACCTCAGGCAATAGTCACAATAAGAGCATCTGATGAAATAATTGCACAAGGTTTTGAAAAATGCATGAAAAGGTCACCTTGATGTTTGGCTTAGGACTTCTATATCTGAAATTAATTATTTTGTGTTACTCCCAAGTTTGCAAGTTAGGCAGGCTTTGCTTTGTCACCTTCTGTGTTCAAAGTTAGGGGTAGGCAGAAAAGGAGGCAGTAGAAATGGTAAAAAATGACACTGTGATTGAGATTGTGACTAGAGGAGAAAGAAGGAAAAAGAAAGATCATGTATTGAACCAAGCACCTTTGGAGGTCTACAAAACTGTCCCCAGTACAAGACACTTAATTCCTAGTATGTGGCCACAGATTCCTTGGATCTGTAGATTGACCATGGTATGGGGAAGCATCAGAAGCCTGAGTTCCTAATGCTACAGACCATCAGTGCCTGGGTCCTTACTGCACAGCCCTTACTGGCCAACTGCAGAACTGCTGCCCTTGGGAATATTTGCTGTAGAACCTGTGTGGAAATCTTTATACCCAGGGGCTTTTCCCTTCATCAGTCCTGTGTCTTTCCTGTTAGAGTGCCTGGAGTTTTGCTACACAGTGAACATGGATAACAAAGGCTCATCTATATTCTTTGCATGTACCTGGCTTATTCTGGAATGTTTGTAAACAGTTATTAGCTCTTCACTATTAGCAGCAGAAGAGAAGGGACTAACCACAAAGACCAAAGACATATTTTATATATCTTGTGTATGCTAGAAGTGTTTTTCAGGAATTTAGAGATAGCTTGCATCACAATTGTAGTAATTGCCTTTCTAAACGTTAGCATATAAAAATATACCTAATTATGTTCAGTGGTTGAAGAAAACCTATTGTACTCATGAAAGCTTATGAGACAAACTGCAGCTAACTACAAATAAAGCCTTAATTTGAGCATACAAAGAAACACACTGAGAAACCTGACAGCGAGTGGCCTTAGAAACCGTTCCCTCACAGCACCTTCCCAGCAGGGCAAGTGTGTGATTCTGTTTCTTCCTTTTCTTCTCTCCCCAACTGTTTCTTGTCACCAGTCTTCTTTGCTTTAGGCCATAGCAGTGGCTGAAAAGGTCAAAACGTGTTAATTTTCACCATTGCATGGGTATGAGGCAGTCAGCAACTGGAAAAAAAATACTGTCTTTATTACTCATGCTGTCAGATTAGATGTGGGAATTGTCTGTTATTTCAGCTGTTGCATGATAGAGTTTATAAATTGGTAGAAATCTGAAGGCAGAGTGAATAGGTCACTGAATGTAGCTTTAAAAGCTGCTGTCATGTTGGATTTACAAAACTTGAAGACTTCTGGTAATAAACAAGCATATGATGATTTGATAATTGTTCCTGTCTTTCATAAGGAAAGCCTTTCCAGACTTCATACTACCTGTGGAATATATTTTCAAAAGCCTTTTGTAAATATCTTGTCCGTTAATCTTCAGGATGATTTTAAATGCCACCTATGAATATAATTTTATTTACTGAATTTTATTTTCATTTACAGACAATATGGTAACAAGATAGGTCTCATTATCTCAGCTTTCACTGATGTCATGCCTGGAACTTTATTATTCCATCTGATACTGGCAAATCTTTATGCAATTACTTAGATCTGTCTTTGCATGCTTAGGTTTCCCAGCAAACAGTGTTTCTCTGACTCCTTGAAATAAGTTTCCCTTGACATTTAATTTGGCTGATGTGGTGACACAAGTTTAGGCATAAATTATACCCTTTATGTCAGCCCACACCCACTGAGATATCCTCATGAGAGACCATGTGTAGGCAGTTGTATCAGCCCTCCCTCCAGAGATACCCAGATATAGAAGAAAGTTTCATTTATGCGGAGGTGCCCTGGAGGAGTATGAACAACTGAGCTTTCTGAGGGCATGCCTTGAATTATTTCTTCTGCTGGTAATGCTGCTTGAGCTCCTTCACAGGCAGCAAGCACTGCTCACAGGGTTTGCTGTATCAGACTCATAAGTGGACTGGTGCCGGGGCAGGGTGGGACCCTCATGCAGGAGGTGACAGAGGGGACATCCCTGGGTGTGATACCAAGTTCCTGCCTTATGTCTCAGGAGTCTGTTCCTGGTGAGCTTTGGTGTCCTGCGCATGAGCTGTGCCTGAATGGGATTAGATGCCTCCTCTAAAGTTATGTATCTAATTCTGGCTTATTCTCTCCCTGTAGTTTTTTTCCTGAAGATGGGACCTCGTATCTTTTGGAAATTGTATGCTGTGTTCTATGTTTTGTCTCATGAGAAGAATAATCAGGAAAAATACTAGAGAATTAATCAGAAAAAAAAAAATGCCATGCAGTGTATGATGGCTGTGGACATGATATAGGAAATAAAAGAAAAAGCTACTCTCTTCCCACAGCTTAAGCTCCTTATAGAAGTGGCTTAAATGTGGACTAGTAATGTATTTCTGGGAAAATGCTATTTTGGGAAAAACAGAAAAAAGAAATTAATATCAGCTAAATGTTGATGAAGAAGAAGAGAAAAATGTCTTATACTATCTGTTTTTATCTTGTCCCGAATGAAACATTCCAATTTTACATCTATAAATTACATTTCAAGACCAAATTCAGTAGAAGTAGAACAAAACATTTATCTACTATTTGAATAAAATATTATCTCAAACCCTTGGGACACACTTTTGGTTTGGTTTCTTTTTCTTTTGACCAATGAAAATTACTTTTCCCCTTGGTTTATATGTGTGATTTACTAGTTGAACTGAGAAAATAATTATTTCTTATGTTCTTCATCTCATTGAGTTCAGGCATGGGACTGGATGCAGAATATGGGAACTGGATGGTTTGAGAAAGAAAATAGGAGAGTTTTATCCTCAAATGAAATAGCATTTGTTTTGTGTGACTGACCAGGGATATAGCATAGATTTGCTTTTACAAGTATTCAGCTGGATTATGGGTGAGATTTAAATAATATGTTACTAAGCTTTAGGATGTAATAGCTTGTCTAAAAATAGGATTGGATTATTAAGATTAATGTAATCTTTGTAGCTTTTGTTATTATTTAGAATGCAAGACATTCAGTCTTTAGTGTTAGAATTGATGATATTTTCATTTCCATTTCCAAGAAAAATAAATATATGAAGGATAATTCAAGCATTGTTAAAATTCAACTGGCAACATTTTAAAAGTGAATACATCCAAACAACTCCATAGAGCAAAGGATAAAACTTTGAAATTAAAATTGCACTATTGCACTAAAATTGCACTGTCTCAATTATTGTGTGTGCTTAGTTGCAACCTGCATGGATTTCAGCTGGTTGATTGTTCATGTTGAGCTCGCTGCACACCCAAAGGACTGTATGAGGAATTTTATTTACGCTGAACATCAGAATCCCTATTGCACAAGTGTGTTTTCTGGCAGTTCCAAAAGGGAATGATAATTGTTTATCCTTAATCATGACAGTAACATAGTGGGATTTGAAACAAAAACGTGTTTCTTAATCATTGAATGATTTGTATTTGATAAAAGGACAATTTTTTCCATTGGTGTTACTTTTGTTGCTTCTGTGAGTTTCTTAAGCCTTTGACAGAGTTTTGAACCTTACTGATCATGTCATCAGCAGTCACTGAAGAAAAATACCAGTTGCTGACATCAGTTACAATTACATAGCTTATGGTGGTATAAGGGATGTTATTTTTACAGTTACAAAGTTTCATCTGCTAATACAGTTTTTGTGTGAGGATATACATAATGTGAGGTGTGAGGACTGTGTGTTCTGTAGCCTTGTAGTTTCTGAGTACCAAACTTAGTGTCTTGGGTTTAAATGTTTTGTTTTCACTCTACATCCTGTATATTCCAAATCTGACACGAAAACTGTTGTTGTAAATTATTTTTATGGATCCTTAGCTCATCTCCATTCCTGTAATAAAGTAGCTTTCTAGCTTGGATTCAGATAGGTAGTGTAATTTCAAATGAGCTTTAACACAATCTTTATGGGAAATCACACAGCTAAGTAAAACATTGATTTATTAAAAACCTCAAAGTCATGCTTTGGGGAAGATGAAAGAGGGAACTGGTTTAGCACAACTTTGAAATAACAGCAGTATGTACTCCAGTCAAGAAAGCAGACCTCGTAGTGTTAAGAGGAAAGACATGTTTGATTGTCTCATATCTCATGGGTGTGTGAGAAGCACAAGGCAGGAGACACAAGAATAAATAGCACATATTTCCTTGAATGGCTTTTTACAACTGTACCTGACTGAATCTGCCATCACTGTCTTTCAGAAATATCGACAGTATATGTCTGGACTTCTCACTCCTCCTTATGGTGTTATGGAAACTGGCTCCAACAATGACAGTAAGTATGAGAGATTAGATATGAGGTGGTGGGCAAGCAAATGAGAAAAGGAAAGAAAGGGGAAGATGGAGATTCTCCAGGTTTGGGTACTGCACTTTAAAAAATTAATTCAGTTTGGTATTACAGCTGCATTAGTACTGCATGTAGTAGAAGACACTTTGGAACTTGCCCAACTGCCTTCCCAGCTGTGTACAAGTGTACACAGAGCTGCACCAAAATCTGCACTGTGACCCAGGCCTGTTGATGAAAACATACTGGATGATGTTGTGCAGCATTTTACTACTTGTGTTACATCAACCATGGAACATGGCCATGAGTCCTGTTAGTAAAATAAATATTACAAACTGTCTCAATTTTTTTTTTAGTTAGGATGGGCTACACAATTTGCAGGAGAATCTAGGTTAGTGCTTGAGCTTGCAGTAAACATGCTGCTCTCTAATCTTTGTTACACAGCTAAATAATTTTGGGTATGTCTCTGCCTCATGAGAACCTGTCAAGCTGTGGGAGAGTGCTGTAGACATGAATCCTAGGGCAGCCTTTGGAATTCATCACTTATGTAAAGCAAAACACTTATATTTATTTGCCAGGGATCCTCTGGATGCCAGGCAGGACAATTTCTGATGGCTAGCAATTGCATCTGCACATTGTGTCTCCTATGTTAGATGTTCAGTATGTTTTCTTTGCAGGATAATAGTATAGAATATCATAGCTATGCTGATTAGTGCAAACTCAATGTCACATTTGACTGCCAGGTACTGAGACACAGATAATGTTAAATGAAAAAGTATAAATAACTCCTGTATACATGCTTCAGATACTAAATTTTGATTAAGAATCGTGCTTAACAAGCTGTTTAAAATACTGACCCAAGTTAGCTTTTTGTCTTTTTTGTGTTCAGCAGAGGAAGCTTTTTTCTGAAGAAATGTTTTGCTCTTTAAAAATTGCAGATTAATGTGTGTGTTATCAAAGTATTGAACTCTCAAATACGCTGTTCTACTAATAAATATTTCCACTGTCACTCAAAGAATGTACAGTATGTATTTATTTTCTGTATTCTTTTTTTAGGAATGCCAGATAAAGACAGTATGTCAAACAGTGCTCTTTGCCAAGTTTCTAAAAATTGTAATAAGGTAAATCACTCACAGTTTTGCCTCTTTTTTTTTTTGTTTTTTTTTTTTTTTTGTTTGTTTGTTTTTTTTTTTTTTTTTTGTTTTTGTTGTTGTTGTTGGAGGGGGAGGAATTTGGTTATGAAAAATGTAAAAGTATTCAGCATTCAATTGAAAATAACTGAGTGCAAATGCAAGCATGTGGTTGATGCATTTGAGTACAGTATACAAATTATAAGAATGCCTTAGGCCTTTTATCATTTAACTGAAGAAAGCATCTGGTTCAGGATTATTACAAAGTGTACTACTACCCAAGTTTGTGTTACAGTCTGGTTTCTTGGTCTTTGTTGGAAAAGTGCTGAGGATGAGGAAGAAAAGCAGTGCTATGACAAAACCAGTGGATAACCAGTGGATCATAAAATTCATTATTAAATCCTATTTTAAGGTGTACCTGAGTCTGAACTGATGCATAGGCATTGTTCTGGCCCTTTGCTCAGGGTGAATTTTCTCCTATGCTCAGAGAGCAGCTTTACATCCCAGCTCTCCTTTGTAAAATAGTTCTGTGCCTTCAGCCTCTCCAGATGAGGACCCACATGAAAGAACTCATGAATATTTCTGTGCCAGCTTCAATAGTGGGATAGAGTATATATATATAGATTAATAGTGGGAAGAAATAGTGTCAGGCATGGCTGTAAAGATTGATAACTTCTAGAATTTCTGTATGGCAGGAGTAGAAAAGTTTCAGTAATAAACAGATGCTAGGTTGCTTTCTTTTTAGACATGGGAGCTTAATTGGATGCATTTGTGTGATGTCTTTAAAAGGTTAAAGGTATTTTTGTTGCACAAAAAGCATCTCTTGACAGCAGATGAAGACAAGGAATATTTTAGTGTGTTTCCTTAATGCAAAAATAACTACTTCCACCTCTCCCTGTCTGTCTGTCTTGCTTCCTCAAGAGTACTGACCTTTTTTAATTGTCACATTTAGCTTTTATTTAATGTATACATGTAACAGTATGCAGTTCCTTTTCCTAGAGCCTTATTCACTAGCTATACTAGTTCTGGACACAACCTTATCCTGTAGGAACATAAATATTTTTCCATGCACTGAGTAATTGTTCTTAGATACTTAGCCCCTTGGATTCTGTAAGAATTTTATGTTACAGTTATGAATTATGGCTAAGTGCTTCTTTAGGTTATTGGCATTTCAGGTGTACACTTGGAATCAGGTCAGGGGTCTTGCTGGATTTCTCAAGGAAAGCACCAGGTGCAGAATTCAAACTAAAAGATGTTTGTGTGTTTTCTGAAGCAGATAGAAGTAACAGGTAAAGGTAAAAAGATAAAAGCATCTGTCTCCCCTAGAAGGTAATATCCCCCCAGTAATGGGAGGTGATGCTCAGCTAAGGGTGGTAAACACTTTCAGGTACAAAGTATTTTAGAAATTGAGCAAAATTTAGTGAATAATACTTTTGCCAATAGCTGGGCTTTTCTAGCACAGCAGGATTCTTCCTGTACAAAATAATTTCTTGAGTAGGAGACAGAGCTTGGCTAGGGCAGGCTCAAACTGCTCAGTGACTTTTACAAGAACAAAGTCCTTTGCAAACCATATTATCTTCCTTTCCAAGACGTGTATGAAACAGACATCCTTCTCCCTCCCACACTGTACACGTTTCTCTGGAGAGAAGCTGAGTGAGTAAATACGTGACAAACACTTGTCACCTTGTTTCATCCTGGAGGCACTCAGACACTTCCATAGCAAATGTGGCAGAAGAAGCTACACAGCATAGAAATGGTCCATGAATTCTAGTTCTTTGTTTTCTCCATATGACCACAGCTCTCTTTAGTTATGTTCAGTGAAAGGTAAATGCAGCAGAGGTAAATATGTGAGTGTTTTGTTTACTGCATGTAAACCTCATTCCTGCAGTTTTAAACTGTGCAACTGTTACAGTGCTTACACAAAATGTCTGTCACCCTTCATGCCCTGCAGTCTGGTGAACCATCAGGGAGTTACTGGAATTCCAGGGCCAAATTCCCAGAGTTGTTGCCAGCTTTTCAAAACAAAAAATCAAGATACCAGAAAACAGTGCTGTATTTCTAGATGTTGCATATTTTGCTTATTTTTAGGATGATGCATGACTCCCAAAATGGCTAGTGCATCAGGGAAGGGCATTCATCCAGGGAAAGAGAAATGCTTTCAGGACATCTTTAGACTGCTTTAGATGGCCAGAATGTACCTGTGAGGCAGGCAGCAAATACAGTTCAGAGAGACCTGCAGACTATTCTGTAGTGTTCAGAAAAAGACTGAGTGAGGAACCGTCTGACATCCAGAGAAAGTTCCTCAAAATCTTTCATATGGTAAAAAGACATTGCACTCTTAGGCAGAAAGAGATAACATCTTCAATACTTCTGATCATGATGCATTTATTTCAAAGTGTGTATGTGTTGTTTTCATTTTCCAGGGAAGTTTATAACTGTAAATAATTTGCTTCAGATGAAATTTAATGTATTCCTCTCTGGAAATATGAAATGCATGTTTTTCTTTTTTAGCCTGTGGTGAATCTTTTACAAGTACTCTAATAGATGTTTTTCCATAATTGCTAATTATTTGAGTTTCATCTTCATAGCTTAATTTTTTTCTTCTGTCACATCTATTAGTATTTGATGAGTAACATAAGATTTTTCTTCTAGTACATGCTTTGGAATTTTCTCACCATATGGGGATGTTTGGTTTGTCTAGTTCATTAAAATCTACAAAAAAAAAAAATCTATTAGGAGAAAGCAACAAAGAGATTCTTTTTACCAAATGTGAATTCATTTGCATTTGGGGTTACATTATTGCACATCATTTAATGCAATATAGCAGTTAAATTGAGCATAAAATACTGAGAGGGAGTATATTACTGTCCCTAGTTATATTTTGGGGAATGGAAACAAAGTCAATTTAATGCTGTCTTACATAAGGGAAAATGACAGAGCATCAGTCTTTTTAACTAGGACAGACTGGGCTCTCTCACTCTAGTTCTTGAAAATTCCCATGGGGTAGAGTTGCATATGTGAGATGAATGTAACCCTAAAGACAAAATTACAAAATCAATAATAATTTCAAATACGTTTTTGGAAAAGATACAGAAGAGTACTTAGAACGCAGGGGAGGCCTGGTTCCAGCATGCAGACAGAATAGTTAGTGGTCCTGCTTCCATATATTACCACAGAGCTGGCAGCAGGGTTGCATGATGCTTCCCACTACAGGACTCTGTTCTTACAATTTGGCCACTTTTTCACCTGTTTATGCTGAATTCACCATGCTGAGAGTATGCTCCTGGCTGATTTTTAAATTGAAATGGATCAAATCTGTCTGACATTGAGCTGGAGGAAAATACATAGCACATACTAAATAGCTTTTTCCAGTTATCCACTGGGAATCCTATCCTTTGGACTAGAAGCTTGGCTTTTGGGGCTTGTTCGTGCAGTAAGGAGTACCATTTGTGAGCCCCTAGAAAATAACCTTATTGTTAAACATTGAAAAATGTCAGTTGAAACTGGCTCACCAGAGGCTTGGTGCAATTTCACTGCAAACTTGTGCACTCAGGCTTCTTTTAGACCCTTTACTGGTACCCAAGTAAGAACAAGAAGTATCCCATCTGCTCTGGAGATATAAGGTAGTTTGAAAGAAGAGGGTACTGGAGGAATGAGTTCTGGAGATAAAGGAATTAATGTGGGTAAGTTCAGAGGACACAGCCCCACTGAGAGCATCAATCTCCACTGTCTTGTGGAGGACTGTGGTGCTGAATGCAATTTTTTGCTATCAGCAAATGTCTTAAACTCCTTTGCAAATTGTGGATGCCTGAAAGCATAGAAATGATACACAGAAAGAAGAGAAATTTATGATTTGTAAGTTATTTATTCAAGTAGTAGATTGTAAGAAATTGCTAATGATCCAAGATGAAGTTTTATATTCTTTTCCCTAACGGAATCTTCATATTGCAGTTTGCTGAAAGAACCCCTACATCCTTAAGATGCCACACAAAATTCTGCTTGAAAGGAAGGCTAAAAATTAAGTGCTCAAAAGCAGAGTATTTCAAGAATGGGGGCTGACTGAGCAGTGTTAATGAAGTCCTCTTATCTGTGTTTGTTACAGTAGAGACTTTGATTACCTGCTCCCATACATTTTTGCTGTGACACACTACATTAAAACAACACCTTACCTCAAAAACCATGCTACCTTTCTTTTTGTACAGCTTCACCTCAGTGACTGTTTAAAACATACATGAGTTTGCTCCCTCTTCACTGAGAGCATACATCCTTTAAGGGGGAAATGCTTTTCATCTCCTTTGTACTGAGGGATCCATGCTGAACACAGAAGACAAAAGCAGATAAAGTTGTGCAAATTCACCCAGTAATTGTTGCTATTGGGTGAAGAATATGTATTCTTTTGTGAAATCTTTCATGCTGTATTTCCTTTATGTTCCCTATATCGTCTGCAGGTTTTTATTGTGATACAGAGTTGCAGGAGCTCCCCCTTGTGCACGAAGTAATATTTGAAAAACAAATGGATTGAGTTTGTGAAACATATAGGTTGAAAAATCCCCTTTATGTTTTTCATGAAATGTCTCCAAATCCTCTAGACTAGAAGCTTATTGGAAGTGATTTATTTTAAGGTATTTTGTATGCCATTGCTCCTATAGACTGTGCTGCAATACTTCTGTGAAAGTCACCTTTCCATCTATCTTCTTTCCTGGCTAATATGATGTGGTAAAATAGAGATTCCTTTCCTTTACTGAATTTTCAATAAGATATAGTTACCATGTTGATTTTTATGTATTTAAATAATAGGGGTGATTGTGAAAACAGTATTTTTTCTTTTTATTAATTCTTAATGCATTTAGTACAATTATATTGTAAAGATCTTAGAGTGGACAGAGAAGGCCATAATCAAGAGTTAATCCTCAAGGTATTGCAATTTCAACATTGCCTAGAAATAAACACTATAATTTTGCTTCTGATTTCCCTATATTTCAGTTTACTTT